TCCCCCCACTTACATGATTATAAGTTATATGTTACAAACCATTGTGTTCACTCTTTTGTTTTACAGACTTGGAAGATATTGAGATGGAGGTATGCAGACAACCTGGACTGAACTGGTACCCAAAGCAGTGCGATTTCGTTGTGGTCTGCTCGATCTGATCAGAGGGGATCTGACGCCTAAAAAGCGAAAGCGCGCTTGTGCATGCTCGCCAAAGATTTTGCATGATGAGCGTGCCTCCTTATCGTGGAAAGTGATCGTGGATATCTTCACCAAATAATGTACCGGTACTAGCTAGGCAATCGCATTCTGACGGAGGATCAATTTTAAGATTAGTTCTATAACCACAACAAAACATTACAGTAAGCACCGAGAGCTCCAACATCATTGGTGTGCGAGGGGAGGAGTAGACGAAAGTGCTATCAAGGTCCACAAACGCACTCGACAAACTTGGGACCACGCGCCAATGGGCTAGCTCCTATGCATACGAACCACCGAAACTGCGTTCTGGTCCACTTATTCGTTGTCGCAAATTTCGATACCGGTAGAATCAGTGATAGGACAGCCAGCCGGAGGCTAGTGCCCTCAACTTGCATTTTTCTAAAAGCCAAGGAACGGAAGGGTTGTGGTTTGACCACTATTAATACCGTTAGCCTTAACCTTGCAAGGGAAACAGAACCATATGTACGCAAGGGAAACAGCACCTTATGTATGCGACACTACCGGTAGCCTTAACCTTGCAAGGGAAACAGTACCATATGTACAGTTAGCCTTAACCTTGCAAGGGAAACCGCACCATATGTACGCGACACACACACACACACACACACCTACACACACACACAAGATAAACTTCAAAAGGCCCTCAGCTTGCTAGCTAGCTGGTAGTTGAGGGCAATAAAGTTCAAAAGGCCCTCAGCTTGCTAGCTGGTAGTTGAGGGCAATTTTGCTTTGCATGCGTGTACTGCTACCGTACGGTCAACCGGGACCACCGGAGTGACTCGACTCAGTCATCAGAGATGGCTATCCGAGACTACATCTTCCCCACTTTGCTGTCTTGAATTGATGACGCAAACGAATTCCAGGTGGAAGCAAATTCGGTTGAGCACTCAGCTTCAATTCAGAGATCTTCGACCTTCGACCTTCTATTGATGGCTGTGTCAAAGGCTGCCCTCCTGTGCTCATCATCCATCATATCTCTCCCGCTTATTAGCCAGAATAGCTTGCAAATCGGAGTGTTGAAGATTGTTTAGTGTATTGACAATGGGAGCTTTATCGAGGAGACGACTATTTTTGGGCCTTTGGGCACCTCTGTTCTTGGCTGGATCTTCCGCAGCCTTTGTTCCACACGCTCAGACCAAGAAGGTGGCGAAAACATCCAATCTGCAGGTGATCCCTGGTCCTGCCGAGTTTGGTGATTTATCATCGTTGCAGCATGCTGCCCATGACTTCTTTTCTTCGACATCAACTCTGTTGTCCGATGCTGCAGCTGCTACAGCCGAAAAGGAACCAAGTTGGTGGGATAACTACCTCCAGGTCTTTCGAAACATTTTGGTGACTGTGCATGACACTGTGGATGGACCTCTGACGAGTGCTGGAGTGGAAAATACATGGGGTGTTTCAATTGCCCTGTTCACATGCAGTAGGTTGAGGTGATTGGTTCCTGTTGCTGCCTAATCCAAAAAAGTCTTACCTTGTTTATTGTATTCTTGCTTGATTCGCCTTCTTCTGCAGGTATGCGTGCTCTTTTGATCCCTCTTTCCATCCAACAAAACAAGAATGCGGAATACATGAAGGCCCTCAAGCCATACATTAGCGAAATTAAAGAAAAGTTCAAGGACAATGAGCAGGCTAAAAACTCTGCCACGGGCAAATTATTCGAAGATGCCAATCAGAACCCTCTTGCGGGATGTGCCGTCTCCATTTTGCAACTTCCCATCTTGTTGGGACTTTATCGTGGTATCCGAATTTTGGCACAGGAGGGCAGAATCGACGAACCATTCTTGTGGATCCCTTCATTGGAAGGTCCAGTGGGTCCTCCCGATTACCGTGGAACTGAATGGCTGACTGCTGGATGGACTACAGATGCTATTACTGGTTATCCTGTGCCTTCCATGGGATGGGAAACCACCCTTGCCTTCTTGGCAATGCCTCTGCTTTTGGTGGTCTTGCAATCAGTCACATTGAGAGTGCTTCAGCCTCCAAAAGATGACAGCATGAGTGAAGAGGAAGCCAAGACGTTTGAGCAGACACAGCTTGTGTTCAAATTCTTGCCCTTGATGCTTGGATTTTTTGCCTTGCAAGTTCCTGCTGGTTTGACGATCTATTGGGTGACAACCAATCTTTTTACATTGACTCAATCCTTGACTGTCAGAGCATACTTTGCAGCCAATCCACCAGAGATCAATCTACCAGACTATTGGGATAATCTGGGATCTGACAAGGACATTTCTGACATGACACCAGAAGAGAAGCGTGCAGCGGTTCAAGCGGGTCTCAGTATTGGACCAACCATGGAGGATCTGAAAACAGGTATGCTTCTCTTGGGGTTTCGCTGCTTCTGAATTTGATTCTTGGAGTAGTTTGTTGCTAATACTTGCCTCTCCCTCAACTCTGCTAACGTCGCTTTTCCAAGAATCCAAATTCCACACCTTTGTTGATCGACAACCCCTTCGCAGTAGCAGTGATGCCTGGCAGCGTGTGGTTTTGGCTTCTACTCCTGTTGCGAGTGAAGATGGTGATGCTCCAGCTGCCGTCGTTAGTGAAATCAAAATTCCTGCAGAAATGGAGTCTTGGGTGAAAGGGGATGACCAGAAAGTGCTGGCAGCGGCCGCCACAGCCGAAGAAAAGGTGCCTGATGCTGCCGCCACTACCACTGCTGCATAGAGCGGTACCGTAGGCAAAATGCAAGAAGTAGCAAACCAAAAAACTCGCATGTTTTAGTTCTATTCCATTATTCATTATCCCTGTGGTCTTCTTCTGTCTTTCTTCGTTTGCGCTCCCGTTCTCGTCGCTTGCGATCTTTACGTCGGCGACGCCTAGCTTTTCTTCGACGCCTTCTGTCCTCACTACTGACGGTGGATGAATCAGAACCTGATCTATTATCACTTGGCGGCTTTGCCTCTGGAATCGGCACTACTTCCTCTGGTTTGTCCAGACTCTTGTTGTGGTTAACAGTTTCAGGGGCATCATCCTTGTCCTTTCCAAGTGCCTTGGCGTCCGTATCGGGCTTTCCGGGGCTTGTCTTCTCTGCCCTTTTGCTGTCGTAAGAAGCTGACGAACCATCCGAGACAGTGCTGCTGCATTCACCTGTCTTCTTATCGTCTCTTGGTTCTGGATGACTTTGTGAAACTCCTTCATCTGCTTGCTGCTTTTCGGATCCCGTCATTCTCTTGTTGCGTCCTCGCCGAGCAACATTTCCAGATGCGTCCGACTCGTCTGCGCTACTGCTGCTTTCGCTACTACTACTGCTGCAGCTGGACGAAGACTCCTTTGGCTGCTGTTGTTGACCATCCACCAAGGAAGTCTCTGGTTTTTGTTGCGTATCGCTGTCTTGGACATCTGTGGCTTTCTTTCGAGCAGTATTACTCTTTTTCTTCTTAGCTCCAGGAGCTCGTTCCAACAACAAAGGTACGCAAACTTTGCACAGTCTCACTTTGACCAGCTCGATTTTCCATTCCCCATGCTCCTCGTACCGAAATGGCACTTCATAGTCCTTCAACCCTTCCCCGTATGGAGGGCCTGCATGACCCTGCCCTCGCAGCTGCTTGCTTTGTGCGGCCATTTTTCGATTCATGTACAATTCAGGTTGCTGAAAGGAGGGACAGCGCAAATTTCCACACGACAAGTATCCTAGGCCTTGCACTACTTCGTCTTTGGTCCGAAAGCAAAATCCAATTTTTCCAGGCACTGACAAGTCCGCTAACGCAAATTCTTTGTAGAGATGCGAGTGGTATTGCTCCACCATGCGTTCTTGCCAAGTGCTTGGACGACCATCTCTTTGACTCTTGTCGGGAAGGACGAACGTGTAGTGTTGTCGGAGCTGCTCGTAATCCTCGGCCGTGGCAATGTTTTTGGTGTTGCTTCTCTTCTTGGGGGACAAGGAAGGGGGTGGAAGCATCAGGCGTCCAGACGAGGAAGCACGATGTCCTGATGATGCAAAAGGAACGATGCGCCCGTTATTGTGGTCTAGTGTCTTGTCCATGTCATGGAGCGAAGGATCGAGTTGCAAAGCGCTGCTCTGACAAGGGAGAAGTAAGGAGCTCTGTGGAGGTTTTGCTGTTGTGTGTCGTGGTTTGGGTTCCGGGGTAGAGGGTAATCCCGGCTCGAAACTACGGGGAGTGTGCGTCCAGTACGATTACGTTCTATTCGTGACTATATACGATCCCGTCACAATGGATTCGAAGAATCAGCCTCCACAAAAGTACGACCATGACGAAAATGACGGCTGGATGCCACTACAAACCTGCCTCTACTACTCATTAACCATCTAATAGTTCACCTGGAAGGGCTTCTCGCCACACTCAATGGCAGACTGCACGCAGACAGCCACAGCATCGGCGCAGACCTTGTGCTTCGAAAGGGGGTGGCGGAAGGTATGGCTCATCACTCCGAAGCTCGTAATCTTCCTGTTGACTGTCTCGTGACGGGCACGGGCAATTGCTTTGGCAACCTTATCAGACTCTGAAAGGTAGTCCTTGGGCATTCGGATATGGAAGGGATATCCGGTGTAGTGCCCATCTGCTTCAACCATCTCCTCACGATCGTCGTCCAAACAGTGAATGAGTTTGTTGGTGAAGATCTTCTTGTCTGACCATTGTCCACAAGGGAAGGGGCCTCTAAACCACACAATATCACCAGTCTGAATGCACACAGCAACCTCATACTTCACACCTGGGCCCCTGTGCTTCTGGGAGTACCATCTTGGGTCACAAGTAATCTGATGGCCGCTTTTGTCTCTTTTGTTTCGGCGCCTATTCTTTGATTTGCTGGATTGAGCAGCAGTCAATTGCTCGTGGATCTTCAAGTCAAAGCAGTCCACAGTCGTCAGCAAGTCCTGCCCTTGTCATTGCGAAACCGGTTCCTCCATGCAATCTGGCTTATGTGAGAATCGAAACAAAGATATCACTCGACAACAAACAACTCACCACGTCAGGCTTAGCAGCTGCAATCAAGGGAAAATGTACCAAACCCACTTGCGATAGGTCTTCCTAGTGACACCGGTGAGACCACCCAACACCGGCTCAGTTCCATAAACTTTGATAAAGAGGAGAGCACCACAGAAGGCGCTCAACAGTTACGTTGGGATCTTGGTCAAAGCCACAAAGCCAACCACAGGAAAAGGATGACATCAGGAGAGACTCCAAAGAACATCTTCCACTCGTCAATGGAGGAGGCTCTGCCCCTGATAAGGGATCCATGGAAAAGAATGGCGTGTCGAGAAGGAGCCATGCTGAAGGGCTTGTTCTTCCAAAAGAATGAGACTAACCTCTAGCTAGCTGATTAATTTCAACGGCCACGAGCCAATCTTTCTAACTTAGGTTTACCGGCAAAGGTTTTTGTGCAAAGAAAGCTGCTCCATGAGCAGCTCCGTGCTTAGCTGCTGTAGCAAGTGGTTGTGTATCGTAGCAGCAGTGGCAGTACTAACGTGAGGAGGAGAGGGCACTAGAGGGACGTAGCATTCATTGAACCTAGCATTGGCGTTATCTAGCATTGACATTGACCGAAGCAGCAGCCGTACTAGTTAGCTGGTCGCTAGTCACATTAGAAGTACGACGTAGTTAACAAACAACAAGCGATGCTATATTTATATTGAGCTACTTATCAACTAGTTACCGGCAACAGACGATTTCAACTTGGTCTCAAACTCTTCATCAGCAACCGCAATGATCTTCTTGGCCGTGGCTTTGGAATTCACACAGAAAATAATATCTTCCAACACTGCAGAGACCGCTTCCTTCTTTCCAGCCCAAGCTCCAATACCCAAGATAGCTTGACGGGCAAGGTGTTTATCCTTCTGGTTGCCACGGTAGAGTCCACCACTGATTTGGGGAAAGACAATCTTGGTGGCACCTGCTTCGGCAGCAAGAATGCATGATTTGGTGTACACATGACGAAGCTTTCGATCGTACTCAGCTTGCTTGGATTCATTCTGTTTGGTGACATCCGTGTAGTCTGGACCAACAGCAATAATGACGTAATCAGTGCCGAGAGTGCCAAACTTGTTGGGCCCAAGGAGCTTGGCATGACCAGTTCTGCATTTGACTGTTGAACCCAATCCTTGCTTGTGGCTAACGGGGAGGAAGAGCTCTGTGTGCTTCTTCCAAAATATCGCCTCCGTGATCCGAGATGGAGCTATCCATGCCACCAGCACAGTCACCTCCTTCATTGCAGGCATTGACGATGGCACCAAATGGATCCTTTAAGGTAGCAGTAA